TGACAGTTTGATGCTTATCGCTTGGCACTGCTCGCTTTTTTACGACACTGGGTTTAACCAAGGGCTACTCCCAGATTCCCTTGACTGCAGAGTCCAAGGAAAGCGCTTTGAGTGCTCAGATGAGTAGAAAAGCGCTATATAAGAACCAGTCCATTTACCATTTACCAAGGAAAAAATGGCCTGCTCCACTCCATATGGTGTGCACCAATTCGTCACACTTCCGTTTGGCTTGTTTGGAGCCCCGGCCATATTTCAACGCCTCATGGACCGGGTGCTGCGTCTTCATGCTGCATATGCTGCCGCCTACCTGGATGATGTTATCATCTACAGTGACACCTGGGTGAAGCATGTGCAGCGGGTGGCCGTGGTCCTGGAGTCCCTGAGGAAGGCGGAGCTCACAGCCAACCTGAAGAAGTGTGCAGCTGGAGGCGGGCAGGTGCATGCACAGGCAGAGAAAATGGCCGCCATTGCATCCTGCCCATGTCACAAGGCCAAAAAGGAAATGAGGTGGTTCCTGGGACTGTCTGGCTACTACCAGTGGTTTCGCGGACCTGACCAGACCCTTAACTGACTTGACCCAAAAGGATCTGGTCCAGTGGATGGAGGGGTGCCAGGAGTCGTTTGTGCAGGTGAAAAAAAAACTTGCTCCCCACAGAACTTTTCCCACCCTGCAGACAAATGCCTCAAACAGAGGTCTGGGGCCCATTTTATCCAAGCAGGTAACAGGGACCGCCCGATCCTTAGTAGTTATTATTACATCCAATTGCCTCGTGGCCTTATGACATCCAAACAGACACTATGCACTTGAACATATAAAAGTGATGACCACCTCTTTCGTTGAATTTTGTGTGTTTTAATCAACTTTGTTACATCTGTGGTGTTCCAGGTCAAAACTGACCACCATAGAAAGTTAAAACAGACCGGTCAATTGTGACCAGAACACTGAAGTAAGGGGGGTGGGGGTAAACACAATAGGGGGGTTAAGAGTAATGAACAAGTACACAATAAGTTCTTATCTTAAAAGGTGCACTAGAATGTAAAGTGGATTGCAGAGGAGGTTAAAATTATTCATTAGTTTTTCCTGTGTCTGAGCTAGGATGAATACCAGAGGTGGTGGGAAGAAAAAGTCTCTCCTGTTTTCTTATTAAAATTATGTAACACTGTCCTGGTAGTTATTTTGGCTGTTATTTTATAGTTATTTGGGCACAAGGTGTCCCAGGGTGTCCCAGGTGTGAAAAATTGTGTGGTACATAAATGAAATGGTAAATGGACTGATTCTTATACTACACTTTTCTACTCTCCTGGAGCACTAAATGAGCTTTAACCCACTTAATAGAACCCCTGTTTAAATTTATCATGATTACAGGTTGAAAACTAAAGATTACACAGATACTCTTGTCCGAAAACAAGTAAAGGTAAATTAGGCTGGATTCAAAAGAAGGCTGGAACGCTGACGGAACACACACTCAGATGACTTGAATCAGCAAGTGGAAGTGTTTGGGTCTAAAATTACAGTATCAGAGAAAGAAGTGGCAGAATGACTGAATGACGTCCTGACAGAAATTTGAGAAGGATTAATATTTGTTCTTGCTGTTGTCGTTATTTCTTTGTGCCGATGAGATTCTGTAAAACATAACGTAGAAATGATACAGATTCCAAAAAGCATTACTTTTTACTGCTATAGTTAACAAAATGAAAATGTGGTGGTTTGACACAGCAAACAAAAACACTGTAAAGAATGCTAATGGTGTGAAATGGTCTTAACCCTTTCCCAAAACAACGTATTATTCAATAAAAAATCAGTCAGTACACAGGGATGCACAAAAAGTAACTGCTTTGTATCCAGGGTATTGCATTGTTGTCAGCTGACTGGCAGGAAAAAAAGGAACAGGTGCACCTGTAAGAAAAGATATAACACCTGGAACAGCAAAATATGAAAATGCACAGATACATAAATCTGCAATTTCCCTGTGTTGTTTGTGTCTGTGTGTGTGTGTGTGTGAGAGAGAGAGAGAGAGTGTGTGTGTGTGTGTGTATGTAACTTTGTCATGAAATTCACCACACTGAAGCCACAATGCCACCCAGGTCAGATTCACTTGTTCTTAATGCAGACATTCACACCAGCCACGTAATTTAGCTGGACAGCATTATTTTTTTTGAACCAAGCTTAATTTTTTAGATTTCTCAGATGTGAATAAACAGATCCGACCAATCAGATCACTGCATTTACCAACACATGAGCTCATAGCTCAAAAGTTGCACTGGTATGGAATATACAATGATATGGAAATAGTAAATTAATACCTCGGATACACTGCTAGACACTGCACTGGGTCAATCAGCTCTCTGAAATTATTTCTCTATCTCCTCAAACAAGGTCCCAACTCTGCCAACAAGAGTTCAAACTGCCCCACTGACATCCTGAAACATGTGCGGAAGTGGTTGAGATACAGCTTCAACTCCTGGATCAAACAAAGGAATTCTCCCTGCAGCTGCCTTCTTGTGAGAGTGGATAAACCCACAATCTCCTTTTCTTCCTGTTTAGAAACATCAGGACCACCTCAGAATTGCTTAATGTTGACTGAATCTTGTTTTGTGAGGGAAAAATTTCCATAAAACGTGACACATTCAGTGTTATGTTACATGAGAGATTCAGATCTGGAAAATGTGGAAAATGTGGAATTTTGTGTCGTTTTTTCGCACATGCTTGGTGTATAATGGCTTCTACACTTAAGTAATACACTGGGAGTATCTGTTGGCTTATGTGAGTATATGGGGTGTAAAAGATGAGTATGACTGTGTGAAATCTAGAATGCTTTTGAAATTGAGGGGGCAGTTCTGGCATGAAGACCCAACTGACTGTCAACAGTGCTCATCCACAGCTTCCCTGCAAAAGCATCAACGTCTAATATGAAGATAAAATTGAGGGACATACAGCAGTGAAAAGCTGAGTAGGAGGGGTGGCTACTTCTAAATGAGCAAATGTTGCAATGATATATATAATAACATATATATAATATATAACAAATATATAATATATATTGAACACTGTCACATCTGTAATAATAGAATACAGCTATTTTATATATTTATTAGGGGTGCAACGACACACAAATTTCACGGTTCGGTTCGATACTTTGGTGTCACGGTTCAATATTTTTTCGATACAAAAAATGTTCATGCCTTTTTAATTTGTCATTTATTAAAATTATAAATATATATTTTAACTCAAAAGTACAGTTTTTAAATGTAATGTTGCTGAAACAAGAAAGTAATAAAAAAATATATCTGATTGAGAAATCACTCATCTTTGGAAAAGAGAGTTTATTACAGAGAAATGGCTCTTTCCAAAATAAAAGCTATA